AAATATATAAAATTTAAATTTTTTATACAAAATTAGTGACACTTATTGATTTGTATGGAATAGTTAAAACGACTTATAACTTAAAGTGTATAAATTATTTATAAAATTCTTATATTAATGAAATTAGACAGAAATTAAAAAATTAAAAGATAGAGAATAACAAATACTTTATAATGTCCCGTAAAAAAAGACTTTATAATATATATTGCCAATAAATATTTTATACAATCAATTTTACACAACTTAGTTACGTTAAAATTAAATACAATAAAGTATATTAATATTAAAAGTTAATTAAATCGATAGTCAATATATCATTACAAGTTCACATATATAAACCTCAAATCAAATAAAAATGAAATATATCCTATTGACTACATTAAGATGTGATTTAAGTCATGAATCCGGAAAAAAAATAGAGATTCATATAAATTAAAATCAACTTTGCATTAAAAGATTATTTGATACCTATTTATATTAAAATTGCAATTATTAGATTTTAATTTAGTAAAGAGGCAGAAACAGTTTATAATTCTGTTATTTACATTAATAGACAATTTCTTTAGTTAATATAGATGAGGGAGTCATTACTGAGTGAGTACGGGTTGAGTTAGCATGCATTACATTCAAATTATAGAAGAAAACCTCAGCCACCATAGAGTTGGTTTTCTGCAATATGAGATTCTCAAACAATAAATCAATCCGTGAATACAAGACCTCTCAAGAAACTCCACATTTTCTCTTGTTTTGATTTAGAATTTGAGATTCATAAATTGACTATGTTATAATACCTGTGGATGCTCTAGCAGTAAGATTCATAATATCTCTGTTAGTTTTTGCGTTAATAGTCGAGTCGACTGCGTTTTTGATTTGGTCCTGTTCAGCTCTCATATCTTCTGCAATCTCAATGTAGTAAGAAACTACTAAAGAAGCTGCAAAAGCAACTGCAGCAGAAGCCATTGTATTAGGCTTTTCGACTGATGTTATAGTGCCGTAACTGCTGCAACAGTGGCAACAACACCGATACTGCGGCGTACAACTGAGCATTATGAGTCTTAATTTCTTTCCTTTTCCTCTTCTTCTGATCTTTCAACCATCTACCAATTGTCTTCCCTCTCATCAAGCTCCTATACGGTTGGTCAAGTAAAAAAATGAATGAAAAAAGTTTCAAGTAGGATAATAGTAGATTCGGCTAGTATCTGATTATATAATTGATGGGTTGGATATAATCACAAGTTGAATGCAAAATACCTTGTTTCTCATCAAGTTTTGACTCGAAATGAACTTCGTAGAAAGTGCTTGATGAAGTAAAAGTAAATCCTGCAGATGAATCTCAGCAAGTATTGCTATTGATTTACATACACTTTAGATTGAATCGATTGGCTAGGTTATAGCAAGTTAAGTACCTTCATTTTGTTACTTTCTTTTAGCAAAACCTGAGAATAACGCCGGATAGATAACTGCTCAAATAACTTGCAACAAAAGTTCAGAACCAATATAAACAAACATGAACATAAGACAATATTAAGTGCATGGTTTCCAATTTTCATGCTATATTGCATTGTGAAAACTTCAAAGTAAATGTTCTTACAGAATCCTTAAAGGCAGTGAAAACAAATTAGACTTCAAAGTAAATATTCACAACAGATGTATAAAGCACCAAGTTGTAAAGTCATGATGTCAAACTCATAATATTCATGGTTAGAATTTGTTATATCATCTTCTTATACTAAATAAAATATAATTCCAAACTCATAATTTATATAAAATCACATCATATATGATGTCAGATCCAAAAGGTAGTTTCTGCATCTAGTTAATGTACAAAATATATAAGAACAAAATTCACTTGTTATAATTTTAAGTGAAAGACATTAATTTTTACATTACTGATCTCAACACAACAGTTTAATGCCACAAAAAATGTGTATTGAATCATATGTTCACTTCTTCTTGAGGTGTTTACCCTTGGTTGAAGATTGCATTGGAGTTAGGACCTCATCTTGCAAAAATATCATCAAGAGTAGTTGGAACGACAACCCTTTTAGCAGGGGTGTTGCTAGAGCAATTGGAAGGACTGCAAGTTTGGTTGGCAGAAGTTGTTGGATGTTTAAAGAAGGTTTGCTCATAAGATTTGATTTGTTGCACATGACATAAATATCAAGTAAGCACCATATGGAAACTTATGCATGAGATTAAGAATAAATACATACAATAGGTTCATATTGAACATCCACACTATGGTCGGCATCCATTAACAACACTGCAGCCCTTGAAGTATGTTGCCAACAAATGAGTTTACAAATTGAAAACATATACTTGATTAGAAAATGAAAAATGTAAAACATTGATAATGAGTCAAACAAAAAGCATACATTATAAAGTTTAATGCACTGTACCTCATCAGATTTAAGAAGTTCAGATAAGGTATTGTAAACACCAGGCTCATGAAGTATTGTCACAATTGAGAATTATTGAAAAATGATTGATACTTGATTCTGAATGCAAGATCTTGGTTCAGAAGTTTGTCTAGGTGTATCAGATAGATTTTCGGGTTATCCTCTCCAGCCTAGTTCAAAAGTGAATCATTCATTGAAATGTATGGGAACTTAATCGTAATCTTGAAAATTAAAAGTAAAGCTTCAATCATATAATTACCTCCTTCATGAGTTATCTCAATTCTCTAGCACTCGGCTTAATGTATGGGATACAATCTTTATCTCAAAACACAAAGCATCCCACGTGATTATCGAACTCAACCTTTATTTCAATTTTGTATTTATAACATGAAAATAATAGCATAATATGTTAGGGAAACAACTACATAAGTAATACTTCAATGTAGCATATAATAAATTGAAATATTACTTTGAGACAAGTTCAACATCTTTAACTCCACAAACATAAACAGATTTGGTTCTGAGGGGCTTGTTTGATGTCTTACAATTGGGACAGGCCTCAAAATACCATCCAAATTTAGAGGCTTTAAATCGTTTGGTAGTTCCAATGGTAGTGGCAAAACAATCCTAAAGTGACATCTGAATTTGTCAAGAGATATATTATTAAGTTTATCAGTTTGCAATGCTTAAAAGTAGACATACCTTGCCCATTTCAGTGATATGACAGATACTCTTGACCTCGAGAGAGTTTGTCCAGGATTTGTTGCCAGATTGAACAAAAGAATCTCCAGTTTGGTTGATAGACTGAGATGGTGCAACAAGTGATTGTGTGGAGCCTAGCCTGATGACATAATGTAGATGTGTATTACATCTAGTAAATGGAAATACAATGAATTATGGAAAATTATGGCAAGTAGTATATTACGGTAAACATATTGTCATACTTGGATATAAAAGCGTTAACTTGGGGATGTTTTAAGTTAATGTGAAGTCTCGATCCATTCCATGCATTTGATAGGCTAGGCAATCCAGATGCTGCAACTCAAATTGAAGATGTTAGTGCTATTCTCCAACCATTGAAAGCTGAATATGAATGGAAGTGGAGAAAAACAAAATCACACTTAAAACATGAGAAGTTCAAATCTTTTGCACTTTCATTGAACAACCATGTTGAACCACCAGTAAAACATAAACTATAATGTATGTTAAGCAACATTAAACAACAATTGAATGCAGAATATGTATAGAAGTTGAGAGAATTATAGACTTTTTGAACCATCAATTTTCAATATGATCATTCATATTATCACTTCATCTCATGATATCAAACTAAAAACCTTCCATAACACCTTATATCACCTATCAAGCCATAATAAAAAATCATCACAACCAAAACATAAAAATTATTAAGATTCAACTGTATAAATAAAATGAGAAAAACACATAAGCAGACTGATTTTTATAGATAATCATTATGAAAACCACATAACCAAACTCATGCAAATGATGAATAACACATAAAATCCTTAAAATTATAAATACAAAGGATACAAACACTCACCTTGAATATAAAACCCTAGCTGTCACAAGATCTACTTTCATTATCCATCGTATCATCTGTGTTTTTGGTGTCTTCAATAGATATGTGGTGTGCTTCGTGTGAACTGCTCATAGCCATAATACATGTTCGCACACAACAATACTTTCGTGAATCTTTATATACCCATCGCAGTTCAACATTGAAAAAACAATCATTATCCAGGAGCAGGGGAAGGAGAAACGAAGACGAGGGCGACAGCAGCGGTGTAGGATTTTGAAGGGTTGATAAAGAGATGAGAGAAAATGGGATAGAGAGAGGAAAAAGTGTGGGACGATGGAAGAAGATTTTGAAATTGAAATAGAAATTTGACAACGGGTGTATGACACTTGACAAGAGAAGAGAGTGTTGGATCAAATTTAATTTGGCATTTAGTTTATCACTGTTGTGGTCTTTTGTTAGTGTAAATTTAGTGTAAAGAAAGGGCAAATTGGTAAGTTTGGACAATTTGTTTTTGAAGTGTTGATAGTAAATTACTTTTTCTACAATACTTTAAATATAAAATAAGAGAAAAATTTAATTTTTATTTAAGTAATAAAAAACGAAAAAAAGTAGACTGCACAAAAAAAATATTTTTACCTTTATATATTACTAGCGTCTAGACGGGCTTTTTATAATACTCACCTGATTAAAATATAAATCGTATTATTTTTTTATTTATTATTTATAAAATAGAAGTAATAGATAATGGTGTAAAATTTAATAAACAGTCACATAACCACCATTTGTTAGAAAGAGAAGTTAAGATTTAAAATAAAAACTGAAAAAGATATATTTGGGAGTGGAGCAGGTTGGCAGAGGGAAGATATTGACATTCACAGGAATAACCAAAGGCAATGGGAGTGTATTGATCCGAAGGAGAATGGTAAATTACTAAAGGCAATTGAAAACCTTGGGATTTCTAATCCTAAGGGTAGACTTGAAATTGCAAAAAGAGTTGTAGAATTGATTAATTCTGAAACAGAGAAGGTTAATGGTAAGAAGGAGAAATCACCCGGTTTAAAATGATTATAGGATCCCTTAACATTCGTGGAGGAGGTAGCGCTCTGAAAAGGAGGAGGTTGAGTGCTATAATCAAAAAGGGGGAAGCGGATATGTTCTTGATTCAAGAATCCAAAATATCTAACATGGAGGATTTTGTTGCTTACAGTATGTGGAGCAAGATGGATGTGGACTTTTCGTTTTCAAATTCTATAGGTTTTTCCGGCGGCTTAATAACGTTATGGAAGAGTGATAAAGTGGAAGCGTTGAATAGTTTCAAGGGTGAGGGATTCTTGGGTACAAAGGTGATTTGGAAAGGCAAAATCTATTATGTGGTGAACGTATACTCCTCTTGCGTTCTTAGCAAGAAGAAAGATCTTTGGTCTAATTTGTTAAGTCTCATGGATAGTCATAAAGATGGAGAGTGGATTATTGGGGGCGATTTCAATGCCGTTAAAGATAGGAGTGAAAGAAAAGGGAGACAAAATGGGGAGAACACTAATGAGATGAAGCTTTTTGGCAACTTTATAAATGATAGTGGTCTAATTGATGTTCCTTGCAAGGGAAAGAAGTTCACATGGTATAATAGCAACGGTAATTCGATGAGTCGGATTGATCGATTTTTGATTTCTAACTCCATCGTGAATGATTGGGGAGTTACGGGACAACTTGTTGGTCCTAGAGACATTTCGGACCATTGTCCTATTTGGTTGGTGTCGGACAAAGAGAATTGGGGTCCAAAACCGTTCAAATTTAACAATGAATGGTTTACGAAAGACGATTTCTTAGCCTTTGCGGAAAGGGAGTGGAAAGACATTCATGTGGAAGGGAGAGGTGATTTTGTTCTTAAAGAGAAGTTGAAGATATTCAAAGATAGACTCAAATGGTGGAATAGAGAAGTTTTCGGTAAAATTGATTTGGAAGTGGAGGAAAGGGTGGGAGACATAAATGCGGGGGACGCTTTAGCCGAGACGGTGGCTCCGGGAGGTTTATCTCTAGAAGATTCGAAATCTAGAAAGGAAGCGGTTAGCAAATTTTGGATGAATTTGAGGATAAAGGAAAACATGTTGGTTCAAAAATCTAGAATCAAATGGCTTAATGATGGTGATTCGAACTCCGGATTTTTTCATAGAGCTATTAAGGAGAGGAGAAGACATAACCATATTGGCCCCCTTAATGTTGCGGGGAGCATGATAGAGAAAGTGGAGGAAGTAAAGTTTGAGGTTCATAGGCATTTTGCTAGAAAATTTAAGGTCATGGAAGGTGAGGAATCGTTTCTTGAGGGCATTACTTTTGACGACATTAATGAAGAAGATAGGATTTTTTTGGAGGGTACTTTTCTTGAGGAGGAAATTAAGGAGGCTATTTGGGGATGTGGCATTTCAAAAAGTCCGGGTCCAGATGGATACTCTTTCTTATTTATTAAAAGATGTTGGAGTTTCTTGAAGGATGACTTCTTTCATTATTGCAATTACTTTCATTCGGGTGGTCGTATCTCAAAGGCGGTAACATCTTCTTTTTTATCTTTGATTCCTAAATCTACTAATTCGGTTACTCTTGATGATTATAGACCTATTTGTTTGGTTGGTTGCTTACATAATATTGTTTCCAAATTGTTAGCAAGTAGATTGAAGAAAGTTCTGGACCGTATTATCTCGCCTTGTCAAAATGCGTTTGTGCCGGGTAGATTAATGCTAGAAGGTGTTTTGGTGGCAAATGAGTTGGTGGATTATGCTCGAAAGGAAAAAAAAGGGTGTGTTCTTTTCAAGGTGGATTTCGAGAAAGCATATGATGATGTAAGTTGGAATTTCCTTAGATCTATGTTAACGAAGATGGGCTTTGGTTTGTTATGGAGGAAATGGATGGATAATCTTATTTTTCAAAGTAAGATGTCTGTTTTGGTGAATGGTAGTCCCACTAAGGAATTTGAGGTTGAAAAGGGTTTGAGACAAGGAGATCCCCTATCTCCTTTTCTCTTTGTTATTGTGGCGGAGGGTCTGGCGGGTCTTGTTAGGAAGTCTCAAGAGCTTTGTGAGTTTGAAGGCTTTATTGTTAATGGTAAGGGCATGGTGGATTTACTTCAGTTTGCGGATGACACCTTAATTGTGAGGGAAGGTACGCGGAAGCATGTGTGGGCGATAAAAGCGGTTCTAAGAGCCTTTGAACTTGTATCGGGTCTATGTATCAATTACCACAAGAGTAAGTTGATTGGTGTTAATATTAGTTCAAATTTCTTGGATGCGGCTTCCTTTGTGTTATCCTGTAGGAAGGAAGATAGTAGCGTAAATTTCCTTGGAATCCCCATTGGGTCCAATCCGAGGAAAGCATCTACTTGGAATCCTCTTTTGTTCAAAATTAAAAAGAGACTCTTGGGGTGGAAGAATCATTTTTTATCTTTGGGAGGAAGGATAACTCTTCTCAAATCCGTCTTGTGTTCTTTATATATCTTCACATTATCTTTTTTCAAAATGCCAAGTGCGGTGTCTAAAGAAGTTAATAAGATTTTAGGCGATTTCTTGTGGGGAAGTGTGGAAGAGAGGAGGAAAATTCATTGGGTGAGTTGGAAGAAGGTGTGTCTCCCAATTGATAAAGGGGGCCTAAGTATGAAATACTTGCCGGATTTCAATGTGGCTCTCCTTAACAAGTGGAGGTGGAGAATTCTAAAAGGTGGAGATGAAGTGTGGCTTCGTTTATTAAAGGCTCGCTATGGTGACATTACTTCCGTCATATTAAGCAAAGGTACGCATTCTCTTGTCTCTAACTCTTCTCCTCCTCATTCAACTACTTCATCCCCTTCTTCTTCTTATTGGTGGAAATACCTTATTTCCATCGGTAAATTTCGCCATTTGGATCCGATGGTTCGTTTGTGCAAATTCAAGATCGAAAGAGGTTTCACCACCCCTTTTTGGGAAGTGAATTGGACGGGTAATTTTTGCTTGATGGACGAGTTTCCGAACTTGTATAAAGAAACTAGATTGAGATTGGTTTCGGTAGCGGGTATGGGAGGATGGGTCAATCATGATTGGAGGTGGGGTGATATGGGTTTGGCCCCGGCGGAGGTTTCGGGAGGCAGTGGGCCGAACGGGCAGGAAGTAGGGTCTCTTTGTGAGCTGTTACAAGCGTTTGAGCCGGAGAGTAGTGGTTCGGACACAGTTTCTTGGGTTGGAGAACCGGACGGTCTTTTCTTGGTTGCTTCGTGTTATAAATTTTATGAGTTTTTTCGGATCCCGTTGGGTCCTCCGAATATTCATGATGACGCTTTTCGATTGATTTGGAAAGTTGAGGTCCCGTTCAAAATCAAAGCTTTTGCTTGGAGGTTATTTAATAATAGACTCCCAACAAAAGATTTGCTAGCGGCTAGAGGGGTAGTTTTTTCCGGTGAGAATTCTCTTTGTGTGTTTTGTGGGATTCACCCGGAAGATTGTGTTCATTCTTTTTTCAAGTGTAATGTTTTGAAGGTGGTTTGGCGGAGTATAGCAAATTGGATTGGGAAAAGTTGGAAAGAGGAAGATGATTGTTTTTGTAGTTTTAAGGATTGGTTCATGTATTGTAAAGATAACAATTCCAAGAAAGGAAAATTAGGTGTTGTGTGGTTAGCATTGATTTGGTGCATTTGGCTCACGAGGAATGGGTTTTGTTTCCGGAATGAAGCTTGGAATGTGGATAGTTTGATTTGGAACGTGAAAATCTTGGTTTGGAAATGGAGGCCTATTGGTGAAATTACTTATCCCAATTGTTGTTTTTATGACTTTAGTAAAGAGCCCTTATTCTTTCTAAAGTAGGTCTTCAATTTGGTTTGTAATTTCGTGTTTTAGGGGTCTTGTCCCTTCCCTATTTTTGTAAGAGGTTTTTAGAGAACGCTTAGTTCTCTTTTATCAAATATATTGCTTGCTTACAAAAAAAAATGTTCGACTTTTTACTCAATATATATTTTTTTGAGAAATTAAAAAAACCCCTTACTCGAACCAAACTTTGATACCAATGATGAGTCATCATGAGGAGAAATCATTCGCATTGAGTCAAACATTCATCTAAAGATTAAAGATTCAACCAAACAAGTGAGAGAGACACCACATATTCATCTAAAACTTTAATGTGATAGGTGTATGAGTCCTTTTACTTCTAGAGTGTTTAACCTCCACTTTTATAAGCAATATGAAATTTAAAACTCAAACTTGATTTTCAACAACTCACATTTTTTCCCAACACACATGTAAATGTCACTCATCATTGTTGCAAATTCTTTTAAGAATACAAGTATTATTTACAATTTTTTTGAAGATAAATCACAAAAGCAACGTGCAAAGTTGTACCAAAAAGTCAATAAACTTTTTGTTTTAAAAATGAATATCACTTTTGTAAATAAAAAATTTAAATCTTACTTTTTATGTAATTTTTTTCTTGAGCCTTTAATTTTTTTTATATATTACTTTTAAAGTATTACTATAATTTTAGTTTACTTTGAATTGTAGTTTTCACAACTTTATTACATTTCTAATTAATTTACATGTAAAAGGTTAATTGACATTTCTTTTTTTTTTAGGATGTCTTTGTGTTACTTCAAGTTATGTAATAGCATTTCTATGAATAAATATTTACATGAATATTATTTTTATAAAAAATATTTCTATTTATGTGTTTCATCAAAAATTAAATTTTTTTAAAATACTTATAAAGTTTATTTAATTTAAAAATTATAAAAAAACAAAAACAAAAAGTGAGTGAGGTAACTCAATTTTATATGTGTGTAAATAAGTTGTTGAAATATTTACCAATCAATATTTGAAAGGAAAAAACAAAATAAAAGCAAATGTGAATAGTAGTGAAAAATTAAAGTTTTTTGAAATTTATTTTCATGAAAATATTGGATTTCCATCCTTTAAGCTTAAAAACAATAATAAAAAAAATAAATAAATAATAAACATTCTTAAAAATAAAAGACTCTAAAAGAAAATTTTAAAGAAATTTGAAACAAACAAAAGAGTCATATATGTTTAAATGGTTATTGTATGTGAAAGTTACTTAAACTAATTTTTTAAATTATAAAATATAAAGTAAGTAAAGTGTTATTATGAAATAAAAATAGGTGATATCAAAATTTAATATTTTCTTTATATATATCAAAGATATTGAAGAAGATGTATAAAATTTTTTTATTTATTATTTATAAAATAAAAATAATAAATAATAGTGTAAAATTTAATAAACTACACATAACTACTATTTATTAGAAAGAAAAATTAAAATTTAAAATAAAAATTAAAAAAAATATATTTGAAAAAAATGATGTTATATAGATTATATTATAGATAATTTGAATTGATATTTTGGATTCTCTAAATTATATTATAGCTGTAAACTAAAATCCAACTGAAATGGCTGCTTCTTCATTTTCCATTACCTTATCCACCAAAATCCCCAAATTCGCTTCTTCAACCCACCACAAATCTCATAATTCCCAAATCACCCTTCTCCGATTCAAACCTTCCCCTATTCGCACCCTCCTTCACTCCACACGCAAACCAATTAACCTCCGCACCAACGCTGCCTCAGTCCAATGCCTCTTCACCGGCCTCGTCGAAGAAATAGGCACCGTCAAGCAAATCGGAGCATCCCCTGACGGCGGTTTCGACTTAAAGGTCAACGCAACGACAGTCCTCGACGGCGTCAATCTCGGCGACAGCATCGCCGTCAAAGGCACATGTCTCACCGTGACAGAATTCGACACAGAAACTTCCGATTTCACCGTTGGTTTAGCCCCGGAGACGCTGCGAAAACTTCTCTCTCCGAATTGGAAGCAGGATTGCAAGTGAATCTCGACAGGGCGGTGACTCCGGTTACTCGAATGGGCGGACATTTCGTGCAGGGTCACGTTATGGGTGAAAGTTAGGGTTGAGAAGGAGTTGCTGAAGTACATTGTGCCGAAGTACATTGTGCCGAAAGGGTTTATTGCTGTGGATGGAACTAGTTTGACTGTGGTTGATGTTTTTGATGATGAAGTTTGTTTCAATTTCATGCTGGTTGCGTATACTCAGGAGAAGATTGTTGTTCCTTTGAAAAAAGTTGGTCAGAAGGTGAATCTTGAAGTTGATATTCTTGGGAAGTATGTGGAGAGGCTTCTTAGTAGCGGGTTTGTTTCCTCCATTGCAACAAAGGTTGATGCTCTCAAACTATGATTATCTTTGGATTAAATTTTTTGAACTTATCTGGATATATAAGTGATTGTAAGATTATTTGAGTATTGAATATTGCTAGTAGTAAAAATAACTTATGAAACTATAATTGCAGGTTTTCAATGTATGATTATGTTTTAGTATTTGTGATTCAATTGATTATGACACCTCATTTTAATTTCAGTTACTAGTATAGCTTTTAAGATTGGAAGTGGCACAACATCAATAAGATCAGAAGCTTCTTCTTAATATTTTGAAACTTCTAGTAATGTGATTGCCGAGATTACTTTGATTTTGATTAACATGTTTTCATATCATTTGTCTCTGATATTTTTGATATCTTAGTCCCAGCACCAGACACATCTTTTATAGAGAGTCTAAACATGAATAGCAATGTCCGATTGTCTCTTATTTCTGAATAATCTTTATTATATATAGAAAAACCTTGAAACAATTGTGGTTGTTTTTACTATCATCTTTGTGTATGATATCATTAGCCCACTTGTTGGAGGATGTTTTTGATACAATTGGGGATATTTGCAAAGGAATTATATGATTCTAAGAAAGGATTCACAAAGGATAATAAAAAAGTATCTTAGATGATATAATCCAAAAACTGTGAGTTGCATAGTTATGGTGTGCATTTTTATCCTAAGTTAGGAATATTTAATTAGTCATCACAGTTTGATATGATATGCATGTTAGTGTGTGCATCAACTTACAAACCAAGCATTTTGTTAGCAGCTAATGATTTTATTTGTAGATGAATGCCTTCGCATTCTCTTGAAGTTGCGCTTTTTTTTTTGGTCAAGATTGAAGTTGCTATTTTCATGATTCGGGCTGATAGGCTTGCTATTTTCATGCTTTACCTTAATTTCAACAAAACAAAGTGGTTTAGTGAAAGGTAGATGCATCAAGGACTGCATTTGTACAGCTTCAGAAGCCATCAATCATTTAGATAAAAAAGCCTTTGGTGGCAACATATCTCTAAAAATGGACCTTACAAAAGCATTTGATACCGTCAATTAGAGTTTTCTTCTGCATGTTCTACATAGATTCGGCTCCAGCCTTGTTTTTTGTAATTGGATCTAGAATATTTCTGTACTTTGCCTTCCTTTCAATCTCCATCAACGGTTCCTCTAAAGGTTTATTCGATTGTAAGAGAGGGGTTATACAAGGAGATCTTATCTCCTCTCTCTTGTTTTGTCTAGCTGAAGAGGTTCTAAGTAAAAGCCTTTCCAACCTTGTTAGTGATGTTAGTCTAAATCTCATAAAAAGCTACATCAATATTTACATACCTTCCCATGTCATGTATGCAGATGGGATCCTCATTTTCTAAAAGCCAAGCTATCCAATATTAATCCTCTGATTTCTCTTTTCAAAAGATACTCCATGGCATCTGATAAAATGGTTAGCAATTCTATGTCTTTCATCTATTATGGCTCTACCAGCAGCTCTAGAATGCAAACCATTTTGAGCATGACTGGTTTTCCCAAAGGGTTCTTACCTTTCTTGTACCTTGGGGTACCACTGTTCAAAGGTAAAACCTCATACATTAGACCCATTACTGGTAGAATTATTGCTAAGCTTTCGGGATGGAAGAGATATAATCTCTCTATGGCAGGAAAAGTTTGTTTAGTTAAATCTGTTAATAGAGGTATGCTCACTCATACTATATTAGTCTACTTCTGGCCTGTTGCTCATTTAAAAGAAATTGAAAAGGCGGCTGGAAATTTTATCTGGAGTGAATCCACTACCAAGAAGAAGCTTTGTGTGGTAGCTTGACATAAGGTGTGCATGCCCAAACTTCATGGTGGATTAGGCCTCAGGTCACCGTTAAGGTTTAATGAAGCAGTCAATCTGAAGCTAGCTTGGGATCTCATGTCTAGTGTTGGGCCTTGGGCAAATATTTTAATATCTAGAGTTATCAAAAACTATGAACCATCAAGTACCATATCTTTTCTTCGATTTGGTCAACCATTAAATCTTAATGGATCACCCTAAATCATCATAGTGCTTGGGTTTTTGGAAATGGCTCATGCATTAACTTTTGGTTATATATTTAGTATGGTCTTCCTCTTATTATGAATACTTCTGTTGAGTTCCTGATGCTTCATGATATTCCTTCCATTCAGTTCTAAAGTAAAAGATTTCATCGCTAATGGATCCTGGTTTGTCCCTCCAAATTGGGATGCGTTATTCCCTTTCCTAAATCAAAAGTTTAACCAAAACCTTCTTCACAACTTTGAGATATTAAAAAACTTATATCCCAATATGGGAAGCCCATATATGCTTCTACTTACATTTTTCATAACATATGAGAAGCCCAAAATAATGAGATATTAAAAAACTTATAGCCCAATATATCTCACACCATTCACAGAGTAAAAAATCAAATATCCATTATTGCTTACAATTCAATAGCCACATCTCATGCTTCAATGGAATATTTCAAGTTGCTAAAAGCTTTTAACATCTCTATTAAACCTCCCTAGGCGCCTAAGATTTTGGAAGTCATATGGCACCTCCCTTTAGGTTGGACTAAGTGTAACTGCAATGGTGCCTACGATCACAATAACCTTTGCAATGGTGCCTACGATCACGATAACCTTCCTACTACTTGTGGTGGCTTTTTTCGTGATCACATGGACAACTTCATCTCTATTAAACCTCCCTAGGCGCCTAAGATTTTGGAAGTCATATGGCACCTCCCTTTAGGTTGGACTAAGTGTAACTGCAATGGTGCCTACGATCACAATAACCTTTGCAATGGTGCCTACGATCACGATAACCTTCCTACTACTTGTGGTGGCTTTTTTCGTGATCACATGGACAACTTCATTTTCGCTTTTGAAGATTTTAAAAATTGGCATTCCTCTTATTTAGCCAAATTCTTTATAGTTATTAGGGTTGTGAAGATTGCTACTGATTTAGCTTTGTGGTTCAAGCTTTTACCAAGCCTTCTTTAGTCTCTTGGCAAATCAAAGTTTATTGTAATAATTATATGAATTCTTTTGTTTCTAGGCAACTTTATATTTCTCACATTTTTAGAGAGGATAACTCTTGTGTGGATTTTATGACAAATATAAGTCCTAAATGTAGCTCCCTCATATTTTTTGATTCCATCCATATGGACATTAGGAAGGAATTTGAACAAAATAGATTAAGAATGCCTAACTTTAGATTTTTCTCTTGATGGGTCTTTTTTTTGAAATTTCATTCTTTATGTAATGTTTCTTTATATATATATATATATATATATATATATATATATATATATATATATATATATATGGTTTAATTAATTTTTTTTATAGTTGAATTTAAAGAATCCTAAACGAATATACTGCACTGACAAAAATAGATAGTTCGTTGGTTTAGGACGAGGTAATGTGCTAACCAAAATCTGTTTCTACAAAGCATATTTCTCGTAATTAATTCAAACTAAGAGCCTACGTAAGCAAGTCTAGGATATAAATCATAGTCCTAAATCTCTTTTATTTTTAAAATGTTAAAAATCAATCAGAACCATTCCCAAATAAAAAACAATCACCGTCTTAGCTAAACACTGAGATAAGATAATTTGGTACTCCAAACAGTCATCAACGAAACAATGACTTTTTATTACTTTGATAGAAATAGTGCATTTGCGGCATATCACCACTCTCCTAAAGAAGAAACCACTTTCTCATACTAATATTGATAGTTGATCTTCCTATTCATATGCTTTAGTCAAGTAGTTGGGAGAAAATCAATTCCTCACCTAACAATTTGATTCACGAGTTAGTCCTATAAATATTCTAACCCTTAGGATTGAGATAACTTACTCTTGACAAGTACAAAATACATGTTTTTGATAAATACTATTTGGATAATCTCCTTGATGTGGATCAAGTGAGATCACAATCGTCCTATTTGTAAGAGGAACTGTTGTCCCATTCTCTTGATGGGAAGTCTTTTTATACTTGTAAAGCTATTTAAAATTATTTAAGGAATGACTCTTCAAGTCATGTGTTAAAATGGTCTCATATAATGTAAGTCGTCCTCTTTAACTCTCATGTAACATCCCATCCATCATTTTCCATAACTCTCATGCAATACTGAAGACATTTTGCAACTGTCGTATGTGAGTGTTCATGTCGCCTTCTAACACTCTTAAGATATCGAATCTGATATGCTCATCTATTAGAGTCATTAGGGGACCGACGCCGACTTGTTCATGTCATATAAATATGTTCCTCTTGAACGGAATGTGACTTGCTTAAGTTCATGCAACCTAATTTGTTTACTCCTTCATATTCGACCTCAACAACTCGGTCTTAGAAATTCCATGATGTACAAATAATCTTTAATTTTATGCAATTTTCAAGTTTTTATATAAATTTAGAATTTTAATTTTGATCGGTTAGAATTAATCTAAATTCTTATATTGTATTCTTATTCATCTCTATAATTCAGTCATTGTATATGACATAAGAAAAATTTAATAAAAAAAATCAAAAATAATTTTTATTTTATAAGGAAAGAAAAGAAAAGAATAAAATAGCCCAAAAAAGGCAAGAGAAAAAACAAGAGGACACACCACAAATAACGTAGCTAGTGTACAACACCGCATCACCATCTTTCTTATCCATACAAACACTCTCACAACATCTCTTGGTTTTCCCAAATGGAGAAGAAGCAGCCATGAACATCACTCTCCTACAACCACCACCACCATCACCAATCTCAACCTCTCACCAACCCCTCGCACTTCACCACCACCGCACTTCTTCTTCTCCGTTCAACTTCCCCAAAACCACTACCTCCAACTCTTTTGTGTTGAACTCCACAAACCCCTCCTCACTCTCCGCAACATCAAAATCAGAACCACGCGACCAAAAGCTTCTTACACTTTTACAACAGAGAAAAACCGAAGAAGCTTGGATTGCTTACACTCTCTCCGCTCACCTCCCTAACCCCACTTGCCTCAGTCGTCTACTCTCCCAGCTTTGTCACCAAAACACCCCCACTTCCCTCACGCGCGCCAAGTCTATCCTCACGCGCCTCCGTAATGAATCCCAGCTTCACCGCCTCGACTCCAACTCCCTCGGCCTCCTCGCGGTTGCCGCTGCTAAAGCTGGTCATACCCTCTACGCCTCCTCTGTTGTCAAATCCATGCTCCGCTCCGGGTATCTCCCTCATGTCAAAGCATGGAGCGCTGTTGTAAGCCGGCTTGCTTCTGATGATGACGCTTCCGGTCCCGTTGAGGCTCTCCGTCTCTTCCATTCAGTCACGCGCCGGCTACGTAAGCTTCCCGACCTTAACATGGCGGCGGATTCGCGGCCGGATACGGTTGCCTTCAACGCGGCACTTAATGCATGTGCTAATTTGGGGGATGGTAAGATGTTCTTGCAGGTGTTTGATGAAATGTCGCAGTTTGGTGTTGTGCCGGATTCTTTTAGTTATAACATTGTTATGAAGCTGTGTTGTGGGAGTAATAGAAAAGACTTGCTCGTGTTTGTGTTGGAGAGGATTCTTCAGTTGAATATCGGTTTGTGTATGACTACTTTGCATTCTCTTGTTGCTGCTTATGTTGGTTTTAATGAGTTGGAAACTGCTGAGAAAATTGTTCAGGCAATGAGGGAAAAAAGGAGAGATCTTTGTAGTATACTTAGAGAGTCTAATTCAAACTATTCTGATGAAAATAATGTTGATGGTGATGATGACGTTGATTCTGTTTTTCATAAGTTGCTTCCGAATTATATGATGGAGAAGAGTGGCAATGGAAGTGTGAATGATTCACCTTTATTGCCCAAAGTTTATACGCCCGACACTAGAATTTACACCACACTAATGAAAGGTTATATGAAGGCAGGGCGTGTTACGGATACTGTGAGAATGCTTGAGGCAATGCGTTGTCAGGACGATAGTGCCAGTCACCCTGACCATGTTTCCTATACCACCGTTGTTTCAGCACTTGTGAAGGCTGGTTTTATGGACCGGGCACGTGAAGTTCTTGCTGAAATGACTAGAATCGGCGTGCCTGCAAATCGGATAACCTACAATATTCTCCTAAAGGGTTACTGTAATCAGCTCCAGCTGGTTGAGGCAAGGGAGTTACTTAAGGAGATGGCTGAGGATATTGGGATCCAACCAGATGCTGTGTCCTATAATATACTTATTGATGGTTGTATATTGGTTGATGACAGTGCTGGTGCTCTTTCCTTCTTTAATGAAATGAGGGAAAAAGGGATAGCTCCGACAAAGATTAGTTACACTACTTTGATGAAAGCTTTTGCATTGTCTGGTCAACCAAAGTTAGCTCAAAGAGTCTTTGACGAAATGGTGAACGACTCTCGAGTGAGGGTGGATTTGATTGCTTGGAATATGTTGGTTGAAGCATATAGTAGGCTAGGATTAGTAGAAGAAGCAAAGAAAGTGATTCAAAAGATGAAAGAAAATGGATTTCACCCTAATGTGAGCACATATGGAAGTTTTGCAAATGCAATTGCATTGGCAAGAAAACCTGGAGAAGCACTTATACTTTGGAATGAAGTGAAGGAGAGGTGTGAGGTAGCTAAAGGAGGAAAAAGTGATTCTTCTGTTCCACCTTTGAAACCTGATGAAGGGCTTTTGGATACACTTGCTGATATATGTCTGAGAGCTGCTTTCTTTAAAAAGACCTTGGAAATTGTGGCTTGTATGGAAGAAAATGGAATATCTCCTGACAAGACAAAGTATACTAGAATATACGTGGAAATGCATTCAAGAATGTTTACTAGTAAACATGCTTCAAAAGCTAGACAAGACAGAAGAGTGGAGAGGAAAAGAGCAGCTGAAGCTTTTAAGTTTTGGTTGGGTTTGCCTAATTCCTATTATGGGAGTGAGTGGAGGTTAGAACCTCTTGATGGATATGAGTGACACTGCCTCTCATTAGGTTTGATATGCTGCAAAAATAGAACAGAGGATATATGTTTAGTATATACACTAGAAAGTAGAAAGCATGTAATAACTTTAAAAACACATAAGTGGCTATTTTTCTTTGAAAATGGTCTTTTTTGTATTACTTAATGTGAATTTACATTTGAATTGCAGGAAGCTAACAAGGGAAAGTTTGGTAATCATTAACATAATTAAAAAACTTAATTATCTCAGAAATGAATATGGAAAATATACGTGGATTTCATAACCTTGTTAGTACATTTAGCAAGATACAATAACTACTGGATAACCTTCCTAACATACAGTTGCCGCCTAAGTTTGCCTCTGTCATTTTACCTGATTCGGTATTGTCATTTTACCTGATTTCACTTATTTTGCGGCGGCTGCAACTGGGACAGTAGCAATTAACCATTCTTGGGTGGCTGCTAATCAGGTTCGGTATTGTCATTTTACCTGATTTCACTTCTGCTAAGTTTCACAATGAAGTACATGCATTTGCAGAAAAATCTTTAAGTATGATATATTCTGAAAGTTGGAAGTTCTATGTGATTTCTTGCGGCAGGATCTTGCTATGGCATTGCTATTTGTAATAGGATATGCAGGCATCATATTTGAAGAATCTCTAGCTTTCAACAAAAGCGGAGTAGGGCTATTAATGGCCGTAAGCTTATGGGTGATACGGAGTATTGGGGTAAATGTCTATCCATCTTATACATGTCTTTACTTTTGAGAATGTCAGTTAATGCTTGATTGGTGAAGAGCTTTATGGTAGCATAGTTATTGATTGATTTGAACTTTATGGTAGTGTATTTATGATTGGCTTGAACTTAATGGTAGTTTTTTGCAAATGGTTTAGAACTTAGAACAGTAGAGAACAGAGCTCTATGATTGGTGTATATTAATATTAATAGTATAATAAAACAGGATAAAAGGTAGAAAAAGGGTATATTTTGGTTTCACTGAAAAGTGTGGAACCAAAGAGAATAGAAAAAATACTGCTAGTGTGCTCATTGTCTTGCTTGTGATATAGTTAGGCTACAATACTTTTTGTCAGAAAATGCATAGGATATTGCAGTGACATACACTATAATTTATTCATCTGTTGGGATATTGCTTGTGATATGTACCTACAAGGTTACTTATCGCACATACTGTCAAAATAAACTCTATCGAACTATATATTCATGTATGTTAGGATTCAAGTGTGAGTGCTACCGTATCCGAGTCTTCCGTCGTTTCAGCTGAAGCTACCATACAGTTGCCGCCTGTGTCTAAGGTCCTTGATTCTGAGGAAGCTGCTTCTGAACTGCAGAAGAAGCTTGAGAATTTACGCGTTCCACCGCGTCAACATGTCATTCTTCCAAACCATATTTTGGTTCCTGAATCTGAAAAGAGCAAGTTTAGCTTTGGGAGCCTGGGAATCAATTTTGGGGTTACTACAAATTATGTTACCAGCCCAGAGAGCGAAAAGAGTTCAACTCTTTCCAAAGTTTCTCAGGCTGTTGAAGAAACTGCAGCGGAGCAGAACTCAAGGTTGTAAAATTTGGAAATTCTAGTTTTTGAATACTGATTTTCTAAACACGTGATTACAACCTTTCCCCCTACTTTATGAATCGCTCTTAAGGTTATACAAGAACATATACACAACCATTTTAATGATTTTAATGATTTTGGGGTGTTGAGGAAGAATATTTTGTTACTAAAATTATGTTACCGCGTCTATAGATGTATCATTTTTAATCTTATCGTGCAGTTAGATCAGTTACTTTTGCGGTTCTGATCGGATCTGGTCTGGTTTAATTCTCCGTGATTTCTTCGTCAGGCTTTGGATAGCGTGGAGAATGAGGTGGAATCGCTTGCTGAATGCTGCGACAGGTGCGGTTTTCCATTTCTGAAAGTTCCTTAGTTGTAACTGTAGTTCATTGTTTGTTTCCATGTTTATCATTAAAAGTAAATGTGTATAAGGAGATAGCATACTTTGACTCTGAATGTTGTTAACTGAAATTCAGTTTCTGTGCTTAGTAGTGATGTTGAGTTGCATTCGAGTTTAAAGTCTTATATATTCATTTAGCCGATTCAATAACCCTTAATATAGTATAGTTAAGAACTCATTAGTAAGGGGATAAACACACATACATATATATAGACTTAAATAAGTGCTATGGTTGTTAACCATTACAAACTTAAGGAACAAGTTTTCATCTGTTGGAAACTTATTATGCAACAACCTCCAATTTAAAAGAGATATAGAGGGAGGTATAGTGTTATGCCACACCAAACAGTCCCACTCCTTGACATTAGCAGTAGGTCTATACCAATTTTATGTCTCCTTTGAGGGAAGAGAACCCAAAGAAGAGTGTTTCCAGCAGAGCTGGTCCTCTTTGCTCATTTCCGGCACTGACAAGTTCTACAACAAAAGGAAACATGCTAGGAAAATCATTCTGAATCTCAGTTGGAATATTCCATAGCATGTCAACAATGAATTCCTGCACTTTATGTTGCATGTTGAGGAGGCTGTCAGGGTCCACATTTAGGAATTAGCATAAAGGGCCACCACACCAGTCATGCTTCCAAAAACTAACCTGGTTACCTTTATCAACCAACCAAGAAGAATTGTCAAAAATAGTTTTTGTTTTGTCTTTAATGCCACTTCAAAGAGAAGAAGAAATATGGTAATTTATCGTGGCACCCTTCTTGAGAACTCTATGCCTAAGGATGTAGGCCCTTTGATCCATTGAAGTGAAAAGGTCCCAACACAATTTTAATCTAGCATCATCATTCAATATAGTGAGCAACCTAACTCCTAGACCTCCCTCTTTGAAAGGGGAGAAGATCTTGAACCACAAAACAATAGTTAGCTTTCTGGTGTCTTGGTTTCCACTTCAAAAGTCAAACCTGACTTCGGCATCCCTCGTCTGCTATTGTCAAACAAATTACCAGGGGCTTCTGGAAGTCCAGATCTTCTCTTTTTGTTCCCTTTATCGCTCTCTCTAAAAGCATCTAACACACTACTGCCCATATCTGGCTTAGATGCTTTTGCTTTTGGTTCCTTTGACTGGTTGAGAACCCGAGCCGCCTTTATCCTCTCTCAGTTTCTGAGACGATTGCGTGATTACAGATTTTGAATCAGGAGATGCTGCAGATCCTAATGACCTGTTGGAACCCTCCGGTGTCTGTGATTCTGAGTCAACTCCAACCGGAGGATTCGTGGACGGTAACTGATCATTTGCAGCACTGCCAGGATCCTTATTACTGGCATTTGCTGAAAGCTGATCACTATTTGAATCTTAATTACTGTTTTTATCAAGAGTGGAATTAGAATCTTCTCAAGAGTGGAATTAGATTCTACAATAATTACTGTTTTTATCAATACTTGTATGAAGTTTGATCAGAGGGGAATCAAATTTTATGATGAAGTTTGGTTATTACAATGCATGCACATGTTTTATCATATTTTTTACTCTTTGGCTTGCTTAAGAGTTTAGTTCAAATGTTTATGATTCTTTAATGACACAGTTTATATATGTTCTACCACCATTTCAACTCACAGTGAGAAACTCAGTGAAGTGAATACTAAGCTCAATCCAACCGAAAGAGTCTAGTACACGTTGAAAAAATCTAATTAATCACTGGTAATTATTTATAGTATGGAGTTTCTTTTAAGTTTATACAAAAGCAAAGATGAACCAAAGATCGACATCATATTTGTATGTGAAAGATACGGGTGTAACCAGGATTCATGGAATGAAAGGGTACATTAGCCAGTTTATGTGCTATAAAAAATCTGCTATAAATATAAAATCTCATATGGTTTGGTGAGAACAATGAATGATTTTATACATAACATGTCTCCTCATTCAAGAGTCTATTCTGGGCTGGATTAGTGGATAATACACGAACATACTCGATCTTTCTTTGATCATATAGGTTCTAATATCACATTGAATGAACTGACATCTCATGCTCATTATGCAAATTGCCAAAGTTCAAAGTATGCTTGCAGTTAACAACCGTAGACCAAAGCTTCTTTCATATTTGGCTTCCATAGAAAGATATATTTCGTTTTATATTTAAATCTACTTGGTTTTTCTTTTGAATGTATGTTGGAAATTGTAATTGCCTATTAGTACGTTTTGCTAAACTCCCTTATGCAAGCCTAATTCTTAGGAATATTGCAGATTTCTTGTAATTAGTAGTACAAACTTGTGTTACTGTCATGCCATTTGTTCTTGTTGTTGATATATGTATGAGTCTTTCATTGGATGGAAAAGCTGATGTTGAACACTTTATAAGCAGATGTTGAACACTTTGTTGTTGAGACTCATATGTTTTAAATATAACCTCAATTCCTTACGTTTGAGATCCACCTTTAACCACCGGAAAGTATGAATTGGTCGTTTGGCTTAATTTATTTCTTTTTCTTTACCTTCTTTAACCAGGGGAAGCTATTTTCAAATTCCAAATCAGTACAAGTGAGAGCCAAGGCTGCAGTGTGCTCTTTAAGTAGTTAGAAGTGGAGATAGGTGCTGACTTGAGAATGTCTTAAACCTATATATGTAGGGGACTGGGCTTGGAAGTTCAGATCCAAAATGATGCTTCAGTGAGTATTCTCTGACTTTCTTCTATTAGCACGTGTTTCGGTTGTTAACGACTAACTACGAGGAAATTCATTAAATTTTGTAGTGATTAAAACAGTTATGGTCTGTTTAAGCTCTCAACAAAGTTTTGATTTATATATGGATTTTAAAAATCAAATCCTTATTGGTAGAAAGAAAACAGAATATACTTATCATGTAAATTATAAATATAGTCATTGAATGTTAGGCATGGATGGTTTGGAAGTAGAGGCCGCCCTATGTTGATGACTACAATGGCAATGGCCCCTGACAGTTTATGTGTGCAAAGATTAGCTGCTCAAGCTACAAATGAGAGCCAACATTCTATGATGGTAGCTGCAACAGTTTGGGATAACCACCTCAACCTTTATACAACAAATTAAGAGATTCAAGTGATTCAGTATACCACATTCATATTCAGGTTTGTTCATTTTTAGCACAACCCATTATTCATTGTATGATTTTGTGTTCAATCCCTATCATCAACTCAAACAGTAGAACCGATATTTGTTGAATACAGTGGAAAGTATCAGCTCAATTTTATTTACTGTTTTATTCAATTTTGATTATTGATTATATAGGTAAGGTTTCCAACTTGTTCAGTTCATAATCCTTAACTATTATTATCATTTTGTCTTCACTAAATGGATGAAGATATATGGATTGTGTCTTGGGTTTCTATGGTGGATGACCCAAACACTACCAAAACTGTAGTTGTTAAAAATGGGCCCAGCAAACAAGTATGCATCAGCTGATTCAACAATCTCAGCATATAATGCAGTACTCACATCACCTTAATAAGTTCAAATGAAACGAGGATGGTTCTCAGCACCATCTCTTTAGCTAAGGGAATCACGGCTAGTGCGAAACCACACACATCAGCTAGTTCGACAAAGGCATTAGATGCTTTTACTATTCTCAGTTTAGGACCATCAACTAGTATTGATTTCACCGCTTTGTTAAGAAACTCTGATGTTGCCTCAACTGCTTTCCAGCCCCATTTAGATGAATGTTTTCCAAACATAATTTTCAATAGACATGTGCATTATTAAATTAGCAGTGAGTTTGAAAAAATCATAGCGATAAAGTGATTATGTTAAAGATTGACAATGTAGATTTTGCTAAATTCTCATGCTTCAGCCTCGATGTGATTTTGTAACATTCATATAAATTTTGGTGTAAAAGTTTCAACAAATTTTATATCTTGTTTTTTTGATCAATTTTTATATTCGGTTATCTAATTTATTTTAATTTTCTTGCATATGAATGCAGGGAACCTAGTTCCAAAGAGTTAAAGTATTATGTCATGCCTTATCTTTGTTCACTTGGACCCAAAGATCTATGAAACCCCTTTTAAGTTTGATTTATGAAGATGGGAGGTAATGAATCTTACAGTGTTATATCTATTCATGTTCATGTTTAACAAAGATCTCACAATTACAGCAGCAATTATATATATGATGTTCGATGTTTTCAGAAAATTGAACTTTTGGCTTGTAACACCCACTTTGCCCCATTTGGTAGTGGACATAGACTATGTCTTGAGTTATAACTTTCTAGGCTAGAGCTCTCTATTTTCTTTTACCATATTGTTACTATATACAAGTAATATAATAGTCGTATTGTTTTCTCTCTCTCATAATTGTTTAATGATTTAAACAAGAGATTGGTATAAGATGAAAAAAAATAAAATAGTATACTTCCCCACTATTATGATGAATAAGAAGCTCCAAATTAATATTCGACCCATTAGCGCTTGTATAGTCATGTGGGTTTTGAAGTAGTCATGGCCTGTGCCATGACATAAGCTCATGTGTTCCACTACCGTCTTGAGTTATTTATCTCAATTGTTTGTTTAAAAATTACTAGATGGACTGGAAGGAAGTCTCTTTGTTTTATTTTCCAAATCACAGCCTGATGCTTTCTTTGATGCTAAAAGGAGACTTAGTATTTTGTCAGAATCTAGAGTGAAGAATGTTGCATCTGTCCAATGTGAACCTACTGAAGTTCTGCCTAGTAAATATCAATACATGGCTAGTTGTTCTGCCTCAAATTATTGCCAGGATACACTCTAATAACCATGTCGTGAGAGAGTTGATACAATCACTGTTGGTTCGAATTGGGCAAAGCCATCCACAGGTAGATGGCCGTTATTTTGAAATTGGAGGCTTGTATTCTTGCATGTTACAAAGATTTTCATAACCTGCAGAATCACAAGTTTTACTTTTGAAGGATAACAGTTTTTTTTATTGGCATCTTTATTTGATCTTTCATGAATAAGACTTGAGGGAGTTGCTTAAATCCATATGTTTGCTCCTTGTAATACTGAAAATTATATCAGTAATTTTATAGTAAGTAATTTGATACGTTTTTGCTGCAAAATATAATGCTTATTATTCAATAGAAGTAACAAATGTTTGGACTCAAATGTAGAGATAGTACAGTAAGGATACCCGACATTGGAGTTAGCTTAACTAAAAAGTAATGACACTCATATATTGACTTGTTTTGGAAACTGAATAGGAGTGTATTTCTGTAATGTACATGACTCACCATGCAAACTAGATAACTTGGAGAGGTTTGACATTGATTTCTAAAGTTTCGGAATACCATAAACCAATTAAGTATGTATGGCATGAGGAGAATCCTAGTTGAACAAACGCAGGATGAAGTAGATAGATAGTAAAGGCTATGGGACTCCATCCAACCCCTATTGACTGTCCCGAACTCTGGTCCTTTCAAACACCAATTTCTTTTGTAAATTAAAGAGATACCCAGGAACATAAAGGACAAAATCAACTAATACGGAAAGGGACAAGCAAGAAATGGGCTGTTCCAATCCCTTGAGACTAGGTCTAGGAATCATAGCTATAGGTAAATAAAAAAATGTAGAGATGAGAAATTAGTTTACTAAGGTTTATAACCAAATCGGTGTAGCTGGAATCTGGATAAGGGGTGCAAACCTTGTTAGGACAATAGTAGACCTTAGGTTCTGATTACAGGCAAGAGTAATTCTGAAGCAAACCAAAAAATGGCAAGTAGGATAAATTGGGTATTCAGCTGCTTACATTCTTAATTTAATTTCACCTGTCCCTTGTAACAGGAGCTAGCAACTTATTAATATCATAGAGTGTGGCATGAGTCTTGCTTAAAATGGGCAAAAATATGACTATCAAACACTTTGGGACAATGTCAAACTCTACAAAGGCGATGGGTATTGCTAGTATATATGTTGACAGCAGACACATGATCAACCTTAGCTATTAAGCCGTCCTTATACACTTCTCCATTAAGCCATAATCTTCTAAAAGTTGTAATCATTTAATGCTCTAGATATTTCTGAAAGTTATACTGAATTGGAGTTGCTGCATTCAGATTAATATTGAGGAGTACGATACAATCTAGCATTCCGACTCTAGCTGTTCTTTGAGCCACTTTGTTTCAATTTTATCGAGCTTTCCCACACTCCTCATCAAACTACATTTTGAAAGTTATGTGTTCCCAAAAATTAGATAGGTGCATATAATCTGCAGGCTCCATCTTGTTGGGTAGTGTTAATGTTGGATAATTTAGATTGGGCTTGTCTGGCTAAATGACTCACATTTTTGGATATACATTTAGATTGGGTAGTGTTAATGTTGTATGTATGTATATATATGCTATTGTTTTACCATAATGATTGTTAATAGATTTGTTTTGACATCATATCCTCCCTTTTCAACGTGAATTAACCCGTTTCCATTAATTGACATCATTGCTGGTTGATATAGTATTTTATTGCAGGGGATCTGAACACCAGCACCAGAGACATCTTTTATAGAGAGTCTAAACATGCATAGCAATGTCCGTTTGTCTTTTATTTCTGAATAATCTTTATTGTATATAGAAAAACCTTGAAACAATTGTGTTTGTTTTTACTATCATCTTTGTGTATGATATCATTAGCCACTTGTTGGAGGATGTTTTTGATGCAATTGGGGATATTTGTAAAGGAATTATATGATTCTAAGAAAGGATTCACAAAGGATAATAAAAAAGTATCTTAGATGGTATGATCCAAAAACTGTGAGTTGCATAGTTATGGTGTGCATTTTTATCATAAGCTCAGAATATTTAATTAGTCATCACAGTTTGATATGATATGCATGTTAGTATGTGCATCAACTTACAAACCAAGCATTTTGTTAGCCGCTAATGATGAAAACTCTAGCCACTCATGATGAAAACTCTTGATCTCCAAGGCTTCATATAAGTCACCTCTTTAGATGTCATTTTCCAACTTTACCAATCCTTTAGTAAATCTCTGCGTTTTGTTTCCCAGATACCCTTTCCTTCGAAGAACATTTTCTTCCCTAACTTCAATAATGGCTGAGCACCAGAGTCAAAAGAAAAAGACACAATCCAAAGGGCAATCCTCTACATCGATCCTCCCTCCTTTCACCACCTTGAGTGGCCCCAAAGTAGTGAAGAACCAACAATTCATTCGTGAACCCTTGTTGGAGGAAAAACGCCATATCTACGAGTCCCAGGTAATCATCCCTGTCACTGTTGCAGGTAAACCACTAGCTATGTCTGGCCCACTGTCTCCCTTAGGTCTTGATTATTCTAGTTTAAGCGATTTCTTTCCTTCTTACAGAAAAACCAAACCCTTAGGGCAAAAAGATTCTAGCAAGATTCCTGCTGATGGTCCTGATAGTCTAGCTACCTACACCGTAGACCTTAAGTATCTCCATGACGAAGCTAGGTTGTTTAGAGCCACCCCTTATTTTAAGGACTCTGATCTTTACCTCAACTGGTTAGCAAAAGTGGAAAAAGTAAAAGCCCAAGACTGGAAAGAAACTGGTATCTATGATCTCATAATGGTGTCGAAGATCGGCCCCAATTATTGTCCCCTCATGCTGGCTTCCTCTTTGTATTTTTGGGATAGCACCCATTACACTTTCCACCTTCTGTGTGGGATGATGACGCCTATGCTTTTTGATATAGCTGCCATCATAGGGCTAAAACCCCACGAATTAGTTTACGACCCTGAAATTGACTGTTAAGACACCATAGGATTTTCGAATACAAAGCACACCTACACCCACTTTGTCCACCATTATCACAATAAGAACACTAGTACTGTCGAGGCTGAAGAACATATAGCCTTCTTGGCCATGTGGCTGTCTCGCTATGTCTTCTGTACTAAATCTTTGCAGGTGGCACGAAAATACCTCACTTTGGCAAATTAACTACACCTGAAAAAAGGCATTTGCTTGAGCGAGATGATCCTGGTTAGTCTCTATGAGGCCTTGAGCGAAGGTGCTGGTATGCTGAAGGACCAGGAAAGTCATGGCAACCTACTACTGTCAGGTCCCTTTTGGCTACTTCAGTTGTGGCTTAATGCCACTTTCAAAAGCAGCCTTCCCAACAAAGGAGAAGTCGATGAAGGTTCGCCTTCTGTTTCTGAAAGACAAGTCAAATGACCCCGCTTGGTTCAACTTACTCCAAGCGAAGAAGGACACACGCTTCGAGCCAACCTTTCAAGCTTCATCCATATGTTCACCAAGCGTCATGAGTTCACCCCAAGAATGGCTCCATTCGTAGAAAGGAAATACGACCCTGAGTGGTTCACTAGACCTTTCCCTCCCCCGTTAAAGAAACATGAAGAGGGATCGAACATGGTATGGGAGTGATTTCTCACACCTCGACTTTTAGTTCACAAACTCAATCTCCTCAAAGGGCAAGCCTCTTTGGTAGTTTATCAGCCAAACTTGGTATCACGACAATTCGGGCTAATACAAACTTTACCCAAATGTTTGTATGATAAGAAGTCACATGTTATACTCCCTCTTACCATTGTCAACCCCATCGAATGTTCAACACAGCTGGCACGCCATGCCCACAAGTCTCTCCTTACACCCATCTATTTCAAACCCTCTTATTTCTGCTCCTTAGAATTCTACAACTGGTGGTTCAGACATTATGCCTCAAAGTTTCTTGATATTTCAAGCTTTACTCGCTTGATTGACCAAACTTTCGTTGATGTGCAGGAGAAAATCAAGAAAGGTACGTCTATACATATCAAAGAGATTCAAGCCTTCCAGAAGTACTTTGAAACCTCCTATCGACCAGATGATGTTAGTCGAACCATCAACGAGGCTGCTGTCACTTTAAGGGAAAAGTTTTCTAAGAAAATGGAAAATTTAAAAATTCCCTCATCTGTTCCTCGTGAGAAACGATATGAGGTTGCTTTTAAATTATTTCCTCCGAAAATTCCTCGATTACCAACTGTTGATTTTGGCGTGGCTCTTGCCCCTCCATTTCCAGATTGGTTCATCTGTGGAGATTCTATAAAAATCCTTCGACAACAGTCCAAACCCAAAGCGCAACAGGTGGTTTCGACTAAACATTCACTCGATACTTTCAAAGGGCACCTTCATGTTAGTATCGAAGATGTTCGCATCGAGTCCGACATCCTTGAAGGTAATCCTCCTTCAATTTGGGCTTTTTAATTGAGTTTTATCGTTACTGACTAGTGGTGGCATGATCTGTTTTTCGCAGCTGCTTCTAAAAGAAGTGCTCCAACATCAAAGACTGAAGGCAAGACCGAAGGCCAAAGGGTAATCTCCTGTAAGCCTTTATCAACCTCCCTGACTGTCCCTAACATCTTTTGTTGTTTCAGGTAAGCCGTAAACCACCTATTCCTCAAAAGAAACTCAAAAGAGCTTCCGCCCAAATCATCATCGACTCAGAAGATGATGACGAATCTCCCTATGAGGATGCTCAAATAAAGAAAAGGCGAAGGGTTACCTAAGGCCTAGATACCACTGATTCTCCATCTGCCCCCTCGACAGTAAAATCTCCCAAACTGAACACTCCCCCTCAAGATCCTACTAAGGCTCCTACAGAGGATGCCTCGATTCCACATATCGTTCCTATTGAAAGTGACAACTCAAGTCCTGCTGATGAAAACCATAAGGTATACTGCGTATCTAACTGCTTTCTTTTGGAACTTGATCTGTTTTGTCCTACTCTTTCTTATGTCTGTTTCTTCATCTAGCCTGATGCTGGAGGTTTGAAACCTACCCCACCT